TATATATATATATATATATATATATATATATATATATATATATATATATATATATATATGCGTATAAGGTTATTATCATTAACGCTGTCAGTAGCACTTGCTACAAATATTACCTTGATGAGATTATTATTTCCGCTATGCAATTATAGACACAAGTACCAAACTTTTGAACATCCTAGAGATGTGTCTGAAAGGCGTCTGAAAAAAGTGGGACGTCTGCTAGACTTCTTTAAGACGTCTTCTAGACGTTTACGCTATCTGGGACGATTCGCTTCGACAAGTCTGCTTTCAGGTCGTTCGTGCGTCGCGCACGTTTCGCGATTGCTCCGGCAAATTTGTGCTCTACGCGCGAATGTAGAATAGACACGGCCGATACCGGGCCGATAACGCATGGCTTTATTATTTAAAATCGCTCTTGCGTGCATGTGGCTGTCAAAAGCCAAACGAGATAACCTCGAGGCAGCGCGAGAATCCGACACCAAGACGGCCTGGCGGTCGTAAAATTTACGCTCGTGAGAAAGAGAAACTTACATTATCGTCGGCGTAACGATCGACGCTCGCGACTGCTCGCACGGGGCGTCGTCGACTGACATCTTTTTTCCTCGTTTTATTTTTTACGTCTCTCGATTGCGAAAATAAACGTCTAACGGCGACACGAGGCGAAGCGAGAGAGTTTCAAATGCCTTGGGAGAATCTCACGGGGAAACGCGAACACGTCGAGGCGCTCCTCGCGGAGAACCCTCGAAAAGCCGCTTTCGAAAATAACTTCGTTTACGAGAACGACAGGATCGACTCGCTGCGTTTTATAAATAATCCCTCTTTGTTCCGCGGCGCGTAGGTGTGTGTGTGTGTCGGGGTCGCAGTCATGAATGAACGTAGACTCGAACGGTTCCTTTCGTTCGCCGAACGATAAGTTCTGATCACGGGTTCATTTTGAATTCGCGCCTAATAAATGATGCGTTAATCAATCTCTCTGTCAAGAGATTTGTAAGACGCGCGAAAAAGTAAAACTTCTAAATGTAGGCTATCGAAAATGATCAAGTTTTTCCGTTCCAATTACGAATTACATACCTGGAAAGATATTCTCAATTGTATACCGATCTTGAACTTATTTATCGTTAAACTCAAAATGTATTCTCTCTGAAGTACACACAATCAGTGAAAGACTATTGCAGTGATATACTTCTATAAAGTATATGTACAATCAGCAGATTTGTTCTTTTTAGCTGAACTGACTGTACAGACTGGTGCACAGGTAAGTTAAATGAAACAAAATATATTTGTTTCGCTCTAACTTATTGCACCAGTGTGCACCAGTTCAAGCAGTTA